ATCAGTATGAGAGTCTAACAGAGCAATCAGGGCGATTTTAGTCTGACTGAAAAATGGTGGTACTGCAGGGAATACACCTCGACGCTGATTGGACAATGACATTCGGAGGCAAGAGAAACTGTCCAGAACAGTCATAGCTAGTTCTGGTAGAATGTGATAGAAAAAATTCTTCCCTTGCGTCTCCCCTAATTAACAAACCGCCCATGGTCCTGACCACTGAAGAACAGGGTAAAAGGGGGCTAACAACGTATGCAGAGAAACAGATGGACTACAGTCTTTAATTGTAGAACTACAAAGTGCACCTATATAGTAAGTGGAGCTGATAAAATGGACAATGAGCGTAGAAACAAGGAGGTGGTCGTAATGTTATGCCTGATCGGTGTAAATAAAACATATCAAACTCCTGAAGCACTGACTTCATAGTACTGGAGGATATGGTAGTACATCCAGCATCTATCAGCATAGGAAGTAAAATTTGTTTAGGGCTATAAGTCTCTTTGTTTGGACCCAGAAAAGATGAAACAACACAACAGAATGACATTAAACCCAAAAAAACAATTAGGAACTTAACTTAAAGGACTACAGTGGAACTGGGAAAAAGGTAGATGATATTCTTCACAAATACACCTGAAAAAAAGATGTAAAATGTGAATATGCTAATTTGAAAATAGCCATAAAAATACAAATCCATCAAAATTGCACAACTGGAGTACACTCAGCATTCCACTATTTTGTTTTCAAGTAGTAACTATAATGAGGGAATTTTGAAGGTATTTAATAGTGTGAATGCTGGGATATGTTTTATAAAACATTTGTTTTTTACAACACTGTTTTACATTCAAATTTACACTCACATTTGAAAAAACGAGAACCAGCAGTTATCTATGTTATTCATTGCACACTCAGAGGTCGTTTTATTTTTTTTTTATTTCCATAGTAATTTCACTGCAAGTACCGCGATTCTTGTGAGTCCAAATATATTTCTACATATTTCCCTTTTAACATGTTTTAGCATTATGAAAATATTTGTTAATAAGAAAGTGTGTTAGGTTCAACAGAATATTTATGTTGAAATATTTATGTTGAAGGCCAAAAACAGCATGAAAATTTGGACTGTTGTTTATACAGATCTTTCTGTTGGTTCAAAAGCTGCTGTTCAAATTTCTTTTCCGTTCATAAAACTTGTACAAACACAAAATAAACAACAGCCATATTGTGATTATATGTGTGGTGGTTACAGTATCACACAGGGCCCCTCTTTGGCACAGCCTGTGTTAATATGTTACTGCGGTTTGTTAAGGGGAAATGAATTCAGAAGTATTCAATAGGGTCATGGTGGGCTTTAGACGTCTGCAGGCCGTGCAACTCCAGTTTTTCACCAGCGTGAGGCAGCATCTTATAAACACGCAGGTGCACGAACTCATCACCGCCTACATGGACCTGAAACAGAAGAACACATTTGTGACACATGGTTATTTAAAGATTTTTAAATTCCAAGCATATTTTACTAGGATGGAGTTTGTGTTCATGTCATACCTTGATGAAATAGTTCGTCCCTGCTACAAGTTGTGACTTGTAAGATTTGGCAGTGAAAACTTCAAACGTTTTACCTGCCTTCTCCTCCGCGTGAGGCTTCATCTGTAAGTAAAAAAGATTTCTGTTAAAGTTGTGTCTCTTTGTGGATAAAGCACAATATAAATGGAGAACCCAATTAAATCATTTTGAACTGATTTGTATTTAAGAGTTCAGTTCTATTTTACTCCATTTAGTTACCAATTTATTCTGCTTTGCTGTAGCTCACACCTCTTTAAAACAAATGACTGAACAATCCATTTTGTCTCTTCCAAACTAACCATGACTTTACTGAAACTTTATCAAATGTTTCAGTAGTGATGATTTTAGCTGATTTTGAGCAAAACTAGTCAGTACATGACTAGACTGCACAGCTTTAAACAGCTGTACTCATATAAAATCATAATATTTTTATTATACCACAGAAATATGCAGAAAACATGTATTTCAGTTGTGACAATTAATGTTACACACTGATTTTAAGACTTGGGGACACATTTACTTGGGCTCTAACTGCACACCATGTGACCATGAGGGACAGGGATGCAGTCTGACTTCCTGCTCTAAAATGCAGGGGTGTGGCTAAAATAAGGCTCCGCCCATGGACTAAAACTCTGTTTTAGTAGTGACATGAAAACGTGGGACAGCATTATTCTGACAATATTCAGAATATATTATATTCAGAAAAAAAGTATCTTAAAATGTGCTGCAATTGATTACAATATGATGAAATACTACACTAATGAATACAGTAGCATAGCATGTATAGTAAGTGTAGTATAACTGTGGTGTACTATTTTGTACTATATGGCTTTGGATGCAGCCTTTTACTGTGTGCTCAAAGTGGTTAATCCCACAGTACAGTGATCCAGACACACGTGCACAGCAGAGACTTTCCTTTGTGCTTCTGCTGTTTTGCCATATTTTGCATATCAAGCATCAGGTAGCGTTCAAGTCTTATCAAACCTGAACCAGTTCTTGGGCGCTGTACCCCTTCTGATACTTTGCAAGGACAGAGATCATAAATGGCTTGTCTAATGTCCTTTGTAGAAACTATGAACTAGTTCTACATGGTTGATATTTTCACTGTTGATTTGCTGCTGCTCAGTCTGTTTGAACAGATCTGTACTGACCGGCGCAAGAGAGTAAAGAGAAAAACTCCTTTTTTACATCACTGTTTCTTATTGTCATTAAAATGATGCAGTCTTAGATGTTGACACTTTGTTGTAGGCCTATTTAATATTTTGGTTCAACCGATATTTTCTGTCCTTTTTCCTGCAGATTCTAGGGTTGCACCAGAATTGGCCATTTTTATCCGAGACTGAAATTTTGATGCATGCCTTGAATCTGCTTTGTTGTAGCTCCCAGCATATTTTAGGGTTTTCCTACGCTAACACACCCATTTTAACCTCAATGGGGGCTTGTTAAAGCTTTTTGCATCTGTGTAAGTACAGATTACTTAAGGTGTGTCTCTAAAATGTGCAGGCAGGGATAGGCAGAAACAGGCCGGACTGGAAAAAACTACTAGTTTGAATGGACTTGTAGAGTATTTACAAATGAGAACACTTTTACTACTATTCAGTTGAAAGTTAAATTCATGATGAACATGATCTAATTTTCCTCAGCTGTACTTCTAATACTAATTCTTGCTTTTGGTTTAAGTTCATTCTGCTGTGTTGGTTCAGCTCCTGGTCTGCTTTACTGTTGCTCACGCTTCTCATTGTGCAACTTTAGACTTCAGTTCCCCCGCTGATAGATGCTGGATACAAGAGGTTTCACTGCATGACTCTGTACTCGAAGACCTTTTTTCCTTTTACTCCACGTTTTTATATCTACTTTTGAGTCTAATCAAATCTTCATTTGGTTATTTCCATCCTCATGGTCAGCCGTTTTTCTCTCATTTACTTTTAACTGCACTTTACAGACACTGATCCAAAACCCACCTCATCACAGATTTTCTGAACTTCATCGTTTGCGTCCTTCGCCTCTGTGGTCCCTCCGCACAACAAGGGCATTTTAATTACTCCGAGCAACAGAAATGATAGCTTAATCTGCTCTGCAGCTGCTCCTTCTCTGTAACTGCGTTTAGTTCGTATTACACCCTCTTTTTGTTATTTTTTCCTGTCATATGACGCATGACTCAGGGAGAGACCAACGCCATGGTGACTAATCAGGCTTGTGATCTGCGGTTGGAAAAAACACGCCACGCGTTCATTTTCTTCTAAATGTATAACGATTAGTTCGTTTTTCTGGGGGGAAGTACTACTTCGATGGGGGGTAGTAATTCGTGCCAGTGTCTTACTTTAAGTCATTTTGAACGGACACCCCCCCCGTCCATGAAATGGTTTAATCCGCCCGCGTCCACTCAGCACAGATCTCCAAATAATCATTTATGGACAAATAACTGCACATCACGCATACAGATCAGATACATATCACATATCAAACGTCTCGTGATTTTCTGCTCATACTCTTAGTACCTGCATAACATGTAATGATTTTTTTACCACTTTTTTACTACTAATAATAATCATAATAACAACAACAACAGTACATAATAATAATAATAATAACCGTGATAATATTGTTTTTGATTTTGTTATTATTATTAGTAGTAGTAATAGTAGTAGTAGTAGTAGTAATAGTAGTAGTAGTAGTAGTTCCCCTTTAAGAAGTGCCATATTATTTTAATGAACAAGGTACTTGGATATCAATATAAGAATGGGGTAAATATTCAATGTATGTTGTTATAATTCTGATTAGCATGTTATTTAAGGAGAGCAAGTCATTACATACGCATTGAACAAGGCCTGTTTTCATTAATGAATAATAATAATAATAATAATAATAATAATGATGATAATTTGATTAGTTTGTCATTAAATAGAAAGATCTAATCTGTTTCATGGTGGTTATGCCAATTTTGCCTCTCTGTTTCTTGATGCACAGAAAAAAAAATCCCTGCACTGCACATTTCACAGAGCAGTTGTCAACAAGTTCTAACACCATGATGGCTTGGTAAGGAGTTCAGGGGAGTTAAAGTGAGTTACTACAGCTAAGTCACAAAAATGTACAGGCAGGAACTTTTTCAGTTCCATTTCACATTTAGTTACTAATTCATTTTATGGGATTAATTTCAGTCTTTTATGCCGATTCAGTTCACAGACTGCTCACACCTATCTGGAATTTTGAAACCCATCAAACTTCCCTGTGTTCTGCTGCTGACAGATACTAGATGCACTAACAAGTTCGACTAAAGTTCTATAGAGAACTGTGTACTTTAAAGAGTTTTTGACCTGATAATCTTTCCTTTGTATTCACTGGACTGGGCTGCGGTAGCTCACATCTAGTCTGTGCTTCATTGTTTCATTCGCAGAATCAGCAGCTCTTCTCCAGAGACTACAAGGCTGCACTGTACACACCCTGATCCAAATCTCACCTCATCACAGATTCTCTGAACTTCATCGTTTGCCTCCTGCACCTCCGAGGTCCCTCCGCACAAAGGCCCGCTCATTATTGTGATATATTATTTAACAGAAAAAGTAAGTTAAACTTCTGCTCTTCTGCTGCTTCTCTGTAGTCAGTCCCGCTGAGTGTGCATGTCAGAAAACGGGCTCTGGCATTCACTCTTATTTGTTTCATGTCATGTCACATGACTCTGGGAGAGACCAATGCTTGGACAAGTGAGCCTGTGATCTGTGGACAAAGAACAGCAAACTATGTACTGTTTCTGTCTCAAATATGAACACTACTCAGTGTTGTTTTTATGTATATATATGTTAATAAGTTGTTATAGACCTCTGAATTAGTTTAGTTGAGTCTTGATCCTTGTAATTCTCCCCCTCTATTAGATGGTTTCATTGAGGCAGATTCACAGATCTCCAAATAATTACTTATGAAAAAGTAGCTGTATAGCACACTTACAGATCAGATATACACCAGAGTTCACAAGTTTGTGATGTTTTCAGTAATATGAAACCAATCTGGTGGCAGATTATGTAGAATGATGAACAGAGTCGTATGAGATTCTAAAATGACTCTATAACATCATTAAGTAAGTACAGAGCCCTGCTGGTATAAATGAAAATAATGCGTGGCCATGACTTAGTAAAGCGTGGGAATGAGGTAATTAAGTTGTGGCCACTACTTAGTAAGACGTGGGAACGAGATAATTAAGTTGTGGCCACGACTTAGTAAGACGTGGGAATGAGATAATTAAATTGTGGCCACAACTTAGTAAGGCGTGGGAACGAGATCCTAATGCATGGCCCTGATTTAGTAAGGCGTAGGAATGAGATAATTAAACCTTGACCACAGCTTAATAAGGCATGATCTCATTCCTACGAAGCCCTGCTGGGGACATCCCACATAAATAAAAATAAGGTGTGGCCACACCTTATTGACACATGGAAACAAGATCCTAATGCATGGCCATGATGCGGGAATGAGATAATTAAGTTTTTCCCATGCCTTACTAAATTGTGGCCACACATTATTTTTATTTATACACGATGTCACCAGCAGGGCTCCGTACATTCCCATGCCTTACTAAGTTGTGGCTACAACTTAATTATCTCATTCCCTCACCTTACTAAGTTGTGGCCATGCACTAGGATCTCTTTTCCATGCATTATTTTTATTTATACGGGATGTCACCAGCAGGGATCCATAAATAAGTTATAATAAAATTATTGTTCAGATTTCATCATATTTCAGAAGTGGTGATTCAATCTCATGGCAGATAACTTGACCAAAAATTAATGTAAATACATACTTACAGGGTACTATTTAGGATTTTATTCAGTTTAGAGATATTGAATAAAACTACAGATACCTTGTATACCTGGCAAGCAGTTTGTAATATTTAAATAATAAACAAAACAAGATGAATGAACATCCGTGTAAATCACATCACACGTCATAATTTTCCTCACAAATGATTAAGTCTTTTTAAAATACATACTATAACTACTACTACTAATAATAATAATGATAATAATATTTTTTCTTTTTCTTCTTCTTTTTCTTTTTATTATTATTATTATTATTATTGATAATCATAGTTCTTAGTCATCATAAAAGTAATAATACAAATACTAATAACAATGTTAATTGCTGTAGTTAATGTATAATGTAGTTGTATAAGTGTTGTTTGTTGTTACATGTACAAGATTTTTATAACTCTGATAAGCAAGTAGAAAGTCCTTTTCTGTGGCCTGAAAGTGGTTAATTCCATAGTTCAGGTTATTATATATTCATTGTGTAGAGCCTGTTTTCATAACTATTGGCAAAGCCATTGTGCAACAGAACTACATAACAAAGCCATGTGTAATAAAAATGTAGTAGCACTGATACCCACTTCACAGGCCAGAACTCTATGAATGAGTGATAGTAACACTGCACGTGTTGCCATATAACCATTACACAACTCACACTGCTATATAATGCTTAAACTAAAAGCCCCAGTCAGGATTTGTGCTCAGAGAAATCTACATCTGTTCTTCATATCGTTTCTGAAGTCTGTTGGGACGTCAACATAGGAACCGGTTTGTATACAAAATACACATGTTTGATGTAGACTTTAAGCATTTTGTCAGGTGCTGTCTGTGTTCTGAGTTGCCTCTGTGAGTTAATGATGGAGTAAACAAAACAATCAACACAAGATATTTGCTTGCTCTGTTACAGATGACCATGATGGGAGCTCACAGCATTGCACGTATAGCAGTCATAGTGCTGGCCATTGTCGTCTATATAATTGTCATTACATTCAACGCACTTGCAGCACAAGGAACTGGTAAGCTGAGTTAACTGTACATTTATTTGCAGAATAATTTTACCTAAAATTCAAATTCAGTCAAGCTCAATGAAATGTTAAATAATAAATGATAAATGTTGAATCAGTTTTAGAGATAAAAAGAAAAGAACCATCACTATCATTTGCCTCTAAATGTTACAATGCAAAGCTGGACTAAAACTGTAACTTAATCATAATTTATAGTATTTTTATGCTACATTATTTGTTATAGAAATTATATTCTAAAATATAATATGTATTCATATACAACATGTATAATGAATGATGAATTTACAAATGAATTTTGTTTTTTTTTCTGGTCTTAGTCTTGTTTCAGTCTTTAACTGCAGTCTTAGACTTGACTACAGCACTACAGAGAACACAGTTCTGCATATTTATATATATATATATATATATATATATATATATATATACACACACTTTGCAATGAAAAACATTAAAATAGAAATAAAATAGAATGCAAAATAGGAGCGTTTACACTAGTGGTCTCAGACTTTTGGACCCCACTGTATCTACTGTTACTATGTTGTCATTTTACTTCATTTTGCTTTGCTTTATTTTGTTGTATTGTATGGTAAAGCTATGAGACAAGCTCTAATTAGGTTTTTATTTATGTGTGTATAAATATTTATTTATGTTTATCAGACTTAAGAAAAATGGAATCCATTAATATTGTCATATTATACATTGTATATAAATGAAAAAGTGTTTCCTCCCTTTCAGGTCCTTTTCTGAGTAAGACTGCAAACATCTCTGATAAATACGTCACTCAGATCACTCCATCAGGATGGACCTTCTCTATCTGGGGTGTGATCTATTTCTGGCTGACTCTTATGTTGATCTACATTGTGACAACTGTATTCAGAAGGTACTTGTTTGAAACATGTTTGGATAAGAAGTTACAGGTTGGACATGTTCAGTTCTTTGCAGTAAAATATGAAATTGTGTTTTTTCTTCAGGAATGCGTACGGTCCGATGTACTGCAGCCCGTCTGTGCTGCCTTATGGCTTCTTCATCTCCTGGATTGTGAACATGCTGATTAACATTGGCTGGCTCCTACTGTGGGACAGACAGTAAGTTCTTGTGAAAGCATTTCACCTTTAGGGAAGCTGTTTTGGACATAAATCAAGTTTTATCCTGGACTATGTAATGTCCATAGTGCATTATGAGCGTTGTTGATAGAACAATTTTGGCTTGAGTTCAGGTTCAGTTTCAGATTTAAGCCCTTAATTTCATGTGCACAGCAACGACACTGTATAAAGCTAAGAGTGAAATTTTTAGCTAAGAATGAAATGGCTACTTTGTAGTCCTGAGTTTTCATGAATACCCAGAGGTAGAGTATCATAAACAGATGTATTTGCAGTTTTCCAAAGATTACATTTTGATATGTTAAGAAATCCTTCTGTAATATCTGTCAGAATGTAGTTAAGACTAAACATGTAAAATTTTGTGAATGCAGGTATTCTAGAAGCTTCTGAGATTCCAAATGAAGGGAAAAGCTGATTTTGAGAAATACGGTCTTAAGAACTGTATTATGCGAATATTGTTGTCTGTACAAAGGAAATGTACATTTTTGGATACAGGAAACAAGCTTTTCAGTGATACATGACATGATATGGTTGTGCCAAGTGTGGGCAGAGCCAGGCCTTCATTAATGATAGTATCATTTGAACTATACAGTTAAATGAGAGGGGACGCAAATTGGCAAAAGATATTGAAATAAACACATTTCTGTTAAGTTTTGACATTTTATGATTACAGTTTAGTTTAAGAGAAGATATGTTATAAGTATGTATACATGTAATATATGATTTATCCAAAAATCTGACAAATGATTGACGGGACCAAAATCGTCAACAATCACATTCACACAATTTTCCTCTTATCCCAAATGTAGCCAAGAAGGTTTGGTATCTGAAGTTTGCTTCTTAAGATTTGCACTGGCTTCTTACACTGTATTTCATCATGTTATGTATGAAAAAAGGACAAAAGTACAGACAAAATTCTGAGTTATGCAGCGTACCTTTGTCCATGTTTATATATAACAGCGTGTCATACAGTTTCATAAAGTGACATACAGTCTATTTGAGATTGCTTAGCAAGCCGACACAGTTTGAGGCAAGTGTGCCGATTTCGGCGTGCAGTTTACATCATCTTTGCTTCTTTAGTTTTGCACTGGAGCTACAAGTCTAATGTAGATAACAAGTAGTGAAAGCTTATATGCCAACAACTGGCATAAACCATGAGTTGTTAAGCAATCTTAACTCCTTAAAATCCCAGGCTTGTTACATCCTAAGGCTTATTATTCAGTAACTACAGGGACTTCAGTGCAAACTGTTTGAGCTAATCTTAGGTTATACAAGTGTGTAATAAAACTTTGGGCCTGCCGGCAGGTCCTGGCCATTTAAGGGGTTAAATGGTTTCTGACCCTCTATGATGTGTTATCTATAAGAATGGACAAACGTTTAGGCAAAATTCAGGCTTTAAAGTGAGTGCTGCTGTTTTTAGCTATAACATACAGATGTTCATTTTTATGCTAACAGTATGTCATACAGTGTCAGAGCCCACATAAATGGGGCAGTCGTGGGCTGGAGGTTAGGGAACCAGCCCTGTGACTGGAAGGTTGCCAGTTCGTGACTGAAGTGCCCTTGACCAAAGCACCTAACCCCTAATTGCTCTCCGGGCACTGTGGATAGGGCTGCCCACCGCTCTGGGCAAATGTGCTCACTGCCCCCTAGTGTGTGTGTTCACTAGTGTGCATGTATGTGGGTGTTTCACTACACAGATGGGTTAAATGCGGAGGTCTAATTCCTCTGTGTGCAAGCACAGTAGGCTAATGGTTCTGAATGAATAAACTAGTCTACTTATATGGCTTAACACAACATAGTTTGAGGCGAGTGATGATTAAAGCATGCCTCTTTAGCTTTTAACTTCTTTAGTTTTGTATGGAGCTACAAAGCTAACAAGTAATGGAAGCCAATTAGCCTCGTAGCTCCAAAAACTAAAGAAGCAAACTTCAGACAGCAAACGTGTCTTGGCTGATCATGTACATTTAACATAAGGAGAACATTGTATAAATTTGATTTGGCCTTTTCTCTTCTTTAAAGGGTGATGATTGCAGCACTGATCATGCTGGCCTTGATTGCCTTCACAAACTACTTGGCGATATTCTTCTCCTGTTACGGACTCAAAGAGTACGGAGCCTGGCTAAACAAGTATCACACAAAAGATCTCTGGTGCATTCATATACTGGTAAGTGTGAAAAGAGTTTGAAACATGATGCCAGAAGTGATGGTAAAGGTTGGAGAATCCTGTTTATTGAGAATAAGCAACTTTTACAAGAGATAAGAAGATACTCTTAATTTTTTTTTATGTAAATGTTTCAATTTTTATGAGTTCACACTTATCCATCTAGTCCTAATTCCACTCAGCCCTGTCTGTCATAATGACTCTTGGTGAGGAGAGAAAGCCAAAAAAAAAAACAGGGGCACAAAACAAAACAAAGCAAAAAAATCCTTAGGTACAAACTGCAGAGCTAATCATGGGGTGAAAAAAGCAAAGTCAAAGGTTTATAAGGAGTGTTTGGAATGTGAAAAGTGTTTGACTTGACAAAAGAAGAAGAAGAAGGAGGTTAGAGTGTGAACATGTTTTAATGTGTATGATTTAGTGTATGTAATGGACATAATTGAATGATTTTTCAATTATTTAGATGTAAACAAAGTCAGTCAAAAGTGAAATGATTCATTGTAGAGAAACTTAGACTCTGATTTCTTTATAGTGGTGGTGATGGGAACCAGGGGTCCTAATGTCTACAACACAAATATAAACATTTTATTTACTATCCAAATTGACTAGTGAACCTACACGTGTCCTACGTTTTCTTTGGGGATTTTGACTTACAAAGCCCTCTCTAATATGCACAGACTTTAAAAACACATTTAAGGCCAAAATCTTCTTGAAATGATCATAAAACAATGTCTCAAACAGAGTTTTTAGAGACATTAACTCTTCAGATGTCTGGTTCCTATCACCACCACTGTGAACAATTCTGACTTGTTCAGTTTCACTAAAATGGAGCATTTCACATCAAACCACTCTAAATGACTTTGTTTAGATCTTAACCACTTAATTAAGCATACATTTTAAAAATTCTGTGGAATTTCCCTTTAAACAGTGAATGTACTTCTTTCAGATACAGGAATATCCCTATAAAAGCTGTGCTTTGTTAGTGAAAACTGTTTTAAAGACTTATCCTTTGATGCAGGTTCAGAATGGACTGGCTGTGTATGCAACATGGACCTCCATTGCTACTCTGATCAACTTAACCATTGTAGTGAGTTACGAGGCTGGAATGAGCCAGTCAGACGCAGCAACACTGTCACTGTCGTTGCTTTTGGTGGAGGTGGCTGTTTGGTAAGGTGCTGCACTACATTACATGATTGATGAGTGAGTGTGCAAGAGAGAGAAAGAGTGATGTTACAAGCAATCTATTATCTTGTCCACAGGTTTATTCTGGAAAACTTTGTGATTGACAAACATGTGCGTTACATCCTGACCATCTACCCTGTGATCATTGTGGCCTTATCTGGAAACATGACGAAAAACTTTGACCCTTCAGCTCCCAGCCGCAACGCCATATTCATTGGTGAGTGTGAATGGACTTTTGCACTCCCCTTAGTCAAACTGCAGCCAATCAATCAAGACATTTTTGCTGCCTGAAGATTGCTATGAAGCTAATGGCGCTAACAAATAATTAAACTATACACTGCCAATTAGCATTGTGCAAATTACATGTCTTGTGTGGGGCCAAATGTGATCTTACAAGTATAACACAGGAAAAACAAGCTAACTAGCAAAACACTATCATTAGCTAATGGAACAGATATTGTTTTTTACAGCATGTAATGTGTTCTCTGCACATGCGGCACATATCTACATGCTCAATTGGAGTTTTTGAAGGACGTTTTAGCCATGCTAACTTACATTATACCAGAGAATGTCTGTCGATAATAACTGCCACTTAATAAAGTCTTCCTGGTTTGTCAGACGCTAGAGGGCGCTCTCAAGTCAGTCCAAAATGCATGGGTTCCTATGGGGCTTTGAAAACATGATAGTTTGTAAATGCTTAATTATTTACGTCATATTTTTGAGCAATTTTGAACAGTTATAGGACTTTTATGTACATGTGAACTGCTTTACTCAGCCAATGAGATAATCAGGTCTCCAACCAATCAGCACTCAGTAGCAGTAATGCCAACTGAACAGCACTCTAGCTGTGTTGCTGTTGTGTTTTTGAATGAAACAAACAGTAACTGGGAGAATCAATAACTGTCTCCTTTTAAACTGTCTGTTGATGGACAATGTTGAGGAACGTACCATTGCCCCCTACTAGACCCAGTGCAAGAGAAGCCTGGCCACTTCCTATTTTTTATGTCAAAAACATGACTACCAAACGCTACAGGGTGTCTGTGAGCGAGTCCTCAAAGAACGGGGGTGAATGGAGTTAAACGGCTAAAACATAACATTATGCTATTCTTAAAAAATATAACAGTAGTGTTGAAATATGTTATGCTGTTTGATGTGTGAGAAAATGTGTGAATTTTTCTGTATAAAAATTATTAAGCATTTGCAAACTATGATTTTGTACAAAAAACTCCTTTGGATAAACCAGATAAGGGGAAAATGGTGTAAATTTGATTTATTTTTTTGCCAAACTATCTCTTTCAAACTATTTTTTTTGTCCCTCTGTGATTCATGTAAATTTGTTGTCCTGAATTCCTCAGCTGTCCTGCTGGCACTGACCTGTGTGCTGTTAGTATTGCGGGTGTGTCTGGTGGTCTGGAGGCACCTGAGACAGCCCTTCTACAGCGGCAGCCACACGGAGGAAATTGTGTCACCTATGGAAGCAGCTGAAAGACAGAAAAAGTTCTTCATGTGAAAATGCCCTGGACATGTGCTGAGCTACTCAGTCTCCTGAGAGATACTGTAATGTAATATAATATAACTTGTATTAAGTAATCTGTTTATGTATCCATCTTTCTGCTTGACTATCTTTTATTGATTTGATATATTTTGATATAATTTATGTATGGTGGTACTTGAAGAAATTTTCACAATACATGATATGTATCACAACATTTCTTTTTGTGATGAAGCATTTGGTCGGTTAGTGTTCTTTAAGTACTGACGATATCCATCATATGTTCAGAAAAGTGTATTATGGCGTAATGTGTCACGATAACAATAAAATATCATCATACCCCCCCCCTACATATAGAGGGTACTCTATATGTAGATCTAGCATCTCTTAGCAAAGTATCTTTCATTAACACTATTTATTTTTTGAATGACAAGAGGCTCCATAGCTTAAAGGAATGGTTTCATTAAAAAAATTACATTTACACAGATTTCCCAGCCCAGATGTAGACGATCAGCCAGATGTAGCCAGTCAGTCCTATTTGGTGTACAAATTTTGCTTCTTTAGTTTAGCTCTGGCGTTACAAGACTTATGTTGCAAACAAACACTAGAAGTCACAGTGTGATGTGGTTTAGGACACAGTGTGACTTACTGTGAGGTAAAAAATTAATACAATGTCACCGTGTATCTGAACACTGCGGGAAGCCCATTGACTAAAACCAAGGTCATGCTGTATCCTAAACCACATCAACAAGTCTGCATAACCTTAATGAGACTTGCATGTGGTTTTAGGGGGTTGAGAGAGGTTTTGATTTCTAGTGTTTGTTAGCAACGCAAAATTTGGACATCAAGTCTTGGTTGGTCAACTACATCTGGGGCAAATTGTGGGAAATTGTGTAAATTAGATTTTTTGCATAAATGCTGGTTTAAGCTTTATAAACATATGACAATATGATGATCTTTTTATTTTTGTTTTATTAAAACTAAGAGCACTCAAAACAGGACCAAAGTGACAGTTAACTTAATAAGACTGAGAACACTTGCTCTCCCCCCAGCCCAGCCCCCATTCCAGCCCCCACCCCCCAGCCAAGACCCCACCCCCCAATCTGTGAATGTTGTACTGCTTCAGATCTAGTTCTCAAGCAATAAAGCCATAAAGTCTAATGTGTAACTGGGTTATTTTCCTGGGAATTCCACTTCATACCAATAGCTCCTCTCTTGGTGTATTTACAATGTTTCCCTGGTAGTTTTGTACTGATCTCAATAGCACTGAAGGTTTGACATGTGCATTTATGAACATATTGTTTCTGAACACACTCCACCTGCCTTCTGTGACCGAAATACTTCTTCTAATGAAATCATTTCACCCTCTGCAAGTCACCCACCTTACCCGAGAGATCCAAATTTATTATGACAATAAAAATATGGGGTTTTGCAAATCCTGTGAATCCTGGTGTGCTGATGTCTGTTAATGGTTTGCTGAAAATAATTTCTGTAATTTAATCTGTGACCTTCTCAAAATAAATTAAACTATGACAAATTTAGTCAGGGAAGGCATGACAAGTGTATGACCCACTTCTTCATTTAATCCTGATACTTAAATACTTAAGTGATTGTACTTTGTTACTATATTTCAGTAGTATTACTTTTGAAGGTTTGTACTGAGAGAAAGTATAGGTCTTTTCACATTTGCTTTCTTCTATGCTCTAACCTATGTTGTCTTTTTGTTGTGTCAGCTGTATTGTCTTACAGTTGTGTGCCTTTTGGTGTTTTATCTGTATTGTTCCCCCTGAGATGAGAACAACCTCACCTTACCCCTGGGGTCTCCCTGACCCCAGACCCCCTTCCCCTTCTTCCCTAACCTTTTGATTGTCACCTACTTCCCCTCCCTCTTTGCTTCCTCCCCCGACCCCCAGTATCTCTACTTAAACTATGTCAGACCATGTATTCAGCAGACTGGACTGCAGACTGGACTAGACTAGGCTGGTGACCAGACCAGGCTGGTGACCAGACCAGACTGGTGACACACTGATGACCAAGCTGTGCCCGTGCATGATTGTCTGCATGCACGTGAATAAGACTAGACTCCTGATCCTGCTGATTGACTGCTGATCGACCACGCTGTACCCATACTCTGTATGTGGAAATAAACTCCAGTCAACGCCGAAGCTCCAGTCTCCTGACTCTTCTTGCCGAATTTCTAACAGTACTTTACTTGACTTTTATTGAGACCTCCTTGAAGTCTTCCGTATACTATGCAATCTTCCAAAATAGGTAAGAAAACTGTAAAAATCAGCTGTAAACGAAAGCTGCTGCTGTTAACCGTGTTCAACAGCGGTAGCAACAGGCTAATAACAACAAAAGCACGTTAGCTTGCGCGCATTGATCTCAGTTGAGAATGCGGTTTTGGCAGGAAACACGGAAGTAACCCTGGAGTAATACTTTATACTAAAAATACGTTTTATGCCAAAACTTATAATAAACTTATAATAAAACTATCACAAAGTGATGTCTCATGTATCAAGCAATGCATTCAGAACCATTTTGTGCAATAACTTAACGGGATGTAGCTTTTAGAGCCATTAAGTGCCTCGGTCGTCTGGTTCCTACTACTATAATGGTAACATTTCTGACTCAGTAAATTTCTCTAGAAACGCGCGTTTCAAACCGAACCACTGTGAATGATTTTGTTCACATCTATACGAGTGAATGATTGAGTAATTTTGCAAAATCGGTGGCGTTCCCCTTTAACTGCTTTTCTAAAAGACATTTTCATTTCGACCTTTAAAGCACTCTTTACAAACTATCCTATGAAGTTCCTCTGCTTTTAACTGTATTATTTTTTATTATTAAAACATCCAACCAAATTCATATCAATGCAAAAATGAAACTATGTACAGCTATGCTAATTTGTTTTTGTGGGAAAACATTCACTTTTAAATCCTTGAAGACTGTAATTCATGGGTGTGGTTTTTAATTTTTCCTTAAAGGGAAATTCCACCGAATTTTTCAAATTCTTTGCAGAAATCTGTCGTTGCAACATAAACAAAGTCATTCAGAGTAGTTTGATGTGAAATGGTTTATTGTAGAGAAACTTACAGACACCTAATTCTTTACAGTGGTAGTGATAGGTACCAGGGGTCACAATGTCTACAACACACATATGACCATTTTATTTACTATCCAAAACCACTGGTGACTCTACATGTGTCCTCTGAGTTTTTATATGTAATTTTGATGATGGTAAAATAGTGATAAATCTGAAAAAAGTTTTTTTGTGGACTATGTAGCCTTAGAACACCTTGCATGTCTCCCTCGGCCATGAATGGATTAAAATAAATCGCTTAACTTAAGTTTGAGACCAAAACTTTATCACAAAACTATTGATGTAGCGATGTCTCAGGTATCAGGCAGCGTATTCATAACCATTTCATGCAATAACTTGCTTTGAGGGAGTTGTTAGAGGCATTAAACTCTTTGGACGTCTGGTTCCTGTCACCACCACTGTGAACAACTCTGATTCAGTAAGTTTCTCTAAAACGGAACATTTTACATCAAACCAGATGATCAAACCAAACTCTGAATAACACTGTTTACATGTTAACTGTTTAATTATGTGGAACTTTGGAAAAATGGGTGGAATTCCCCTTTGAATTACTTTTTCCTCACCCTGATTTTGTTTGATTTTTTCGTTTCGTCTTTCAGTTTCATTGCCTGGTTATACTGCTCGTATTATTATTATTATTATTATTATTATTAGAGTTATAATAGTAGTAATAATGGAAGTATTGTTACTTCAGCAGAGTTAAAATGGTCAATGATCCAACGAGTTTCTATTGTCGTCCAGTAGATGGCGATGGTCACCAATAATCAAATCGAAACCATCAGCGCGGTAAAGAAGAACTCTCTGATGGGCGGGAGAATTTGTTTTGTTTTTGTTTTGGGGCTCGACAGAAATGTATTTAATGTAAATGGAACCAAATAATTTGTGAAACGCCGCTACATTTTTATCAATAGGAAAATGGTCACGTTTTCTGTTTCTTGCTAATGAAACGTTAACACTTAGTTGTTAAGAATTTCCGAAATTAAAAAGTGGCGGACTCTCCGGCTAATGCTAGCTCAGTCACCAACCCCGAATGAACACTTAGCTAGGTTAGCTTAGCTGGCTAACAGCTCGGCTGTTTTTTTTCTTTTCGCTTTTTCTCACGAAATGGACCGCAAGATGATGAACTTGGTGAGCAGCTTTTAACTGAGTGTCTTTAGGTTGATGTCTGAGAAATTTAATTTAGCAGTTTCAGCTTGACGCGAACGAAACGGTAGCTAGTTAGCATCCTGGCTAATGCTAGCTTGCGCACCCTGTGTGAAGAACTCGGCTAAACTAAATAAGCTAACAGTTACTGTCGAGTTTGTTTTGACGGAGCTTAAGTCAGCTTCTTATTCGCCAGCTCGTTCGAATTTCCCGTTCCGTCTTAAATGGTGCAGAAATTACAGTCTGGCGCCTGAGGCATACAGGCTGCTGCTGCACCGTTTAAGATGTAACGGGGGAAATTCGAAAGAATAGAAAGACAACCTAAGCCTCGTTTTGTCTTGGACCTACAGGCTGCAGATAAGCGTCGCTAATTGTTATGTCCAAAAGTATCCAGACACCCCTTCTAATTAGTAAATTCAGTAACTTCACAAAGCTCACAGTAAGGCATTGACAATTGAATGGGACGCACGAGAGCAGCACATGAGCAAGGCGCCGGGGAGAGGTTTATACAGCCCTCCAACATCCGCAGCAGCGGGCTGTGAAGCAGTGGAACTGCATTCTCTGGAGAGATGGGGCTCCATCCAGGAGTGTTGGGATTAGTTAGAGTGGCGTTTGTGGCTAAATGCAATCAGATCATCGCAGCAGCGTTCCAACACCTAGTGTAAAGCTTTTCCAGAAGAGTAGAGGTTGTTACTGCAGCAAAGGGGGAACAAATGCCCTATCAATACCTATGATTTTAGGAGACATGCAAGATAAACGGGTGTCTAAAAAAATTTGGACATAGTGCATGTGTTGCTTGTTGACAGCTTGAGGATTTCTATTCAAACTTTGAAACAAGGGCATTTAGTATGTGCGACCAGTTCCGATATGATCAAAATGTCACTGACTCTATTAATTTCTTTAGGGGAGAGCAAAGAAGCAACTTCGTTACTTCCAAACGGAGGAAAAGTGAGTAATATAAACGTACAGAGGCATCTGTTGTATGTACCTTGAGGTCTTTTAATATAACTCAATGTCAACAGAATTGTTTAACTACGTTAATTCATTTTGTTTATTGAACCTTCTCTGGCCTGAGGAGTAGAGTGGGTCTTGTGTGGTGGGACTCTAAGGGGCACACATGTCACAGGCCCTTAATGATAAACCCAATTAGCCACTAAAGATCAGTTTTGTAATTAAACCATTTATATTATTTCCTTGTGCTCATTTAGAAAGAATTTGTTAAATTTATTACTTGATGGCCCATAATACCACACCTCCCTCACACCCTTGTTAGCTAAAAAATTTTGACTTTTTTGTTTCTGTTTTGACATTTTGGCTCTTTTTATTCCAGGACTTCATGTTCACTGAAGATCAAAGAAGTCTTCTCGCTGAATGACCTTGACAACATTTTTGATGATTTAGGTAAGCTGTTTATTTGTTTGTATTTGCTCCTGTAACTTCTGTTGCGGGTCTTTGTATGCTAGGTGCAAAAGTCAGAGACCACCCTTAATCCATTTCCTGTCAACCATTAGGTGTTTATTTTCAGATATTTCTGAGGAGAATAGACAAAATAATTCATTTGTATCAGGAATGGGAAGGTCAAAAGGGAAAAAAGGACTTTCCAAAAATTTCTTTTCAAAAAATCAAGTAAAGATGCAGAGAAAATAGAACTACAACTGTCTAAGACCTGGTAGACCACCAGCACTGTCCCCATCTTTCTGTCCATCTTTCCAATGTGAGAAGACAACTCAACACTAGGGGTCTGAAAGGATGTCTAGCTGTCAAGAAGCCTGAAAAATTGGATGTTAGGTTTAGTTGTTAAGGACTTTGTGTTATTTTGTGTTAAAAATGTGTTGATCTCTGATGCTGAAAAATGAATAATTTGTGCTTCATGGCCGTTTTGACTGAAAATTAAATAAATGAAGGGTGGTCTCTAATTGTTTGTACTTTATGTATTTACTCTTTAATAGTGATTTAATAGTAATGTTGTTCCTTAGATTCTGGGTCTGACTCAGCAATGCCTCAGCTCTCACTGTTGCCCAGGAGTGATGAGATTGTGGAACAGGGGAAAGAAGACAATTCGCTAGATCTCAAGATATCCTCTCCCTTTGGTGCAGAGGTCAGACTCTTGAAGCAGTTCATATTATTTGTTAAATCTTTAGCTTGTTCCTCTGGCTTGCACAGTTCATCATGATAAATAATAAGCAAGGGTTAGTGTTATGAACAGTCATCAGATGTCTTTTCTGGTCTGAATCTATGACATTTTTATTTAAGAATTGATTGTGTGTATCTCTCCTGTCAAAAACGATCTAAATGTTTCCACCATTTTGCCCGCCTTTATAAATTTTGTGTATTTGTGGTTCTGTATTGTGTGAACAAACACATTCTCTCAATTAATTTTCTAATTTTTATCCTTAGGAGCCAGAGGTTTTGGCACCAGAAAATCCAGTTCAGGAAGACCATTTAATTGGCAAAGGTATAGTGTGCTAGTCAGAATGTATTGGCAGCAGAGCAGTTTTGTGCTGCTGTACTCACGGTCAGATACTTTGCTTTTTACATTGTGACTTGCTTATGTATGCTTATGCACTTGCTTATGCATCTGTCTTGCTTTAGAGAGCCCTTTTAAGGAGATTGCTCCTATTAGGACCTCCAGCCCTATTGACCTGCTACCAGCTGGGAATGGAGCAGAAGATGCAGAAAGGCCAGAAACCTCTCCAATACTCTTCGGTGTTGAGGATGAAGAGCCAGTTAGGCGTGACTTGAGCAAACCTCTGACGAATCAGAGATCCCCACAGGAGTTTCTTCAAGAGTAAGAATTTCAGAAATGTCTACATTAAAATCACTATAGATTATTAATAATGTAATGTATTGTTAAGGTCATGTCTGTCATTTTCTTGTTTTAAAGGGACAGTGAATCACTCGTGTCTCCACCGGCACGGTTGGAGTTTGGAAAGCCGGCTACACAGGATGTTGTTTCTGTAACAGGGTTAGCTAATCGGCTTATGGTATACATTTATTTATTGATGTGTAACACACATGCATATATTTAGTTCATAAGACCTCGTTTCTTTTTTTCTAAGATGTATGCCTGTACAGTCTCCCGATGCAACATCCCGAGGGTGCCAAACCTCAGCACCAGAAGCAAAAGAAGAGTCACGAAAGTAAGAACTTTTTTGAACAATTGCCAGAACTTGTTGACAGATAGATCTGTTAATAACCTATTTAATACATCATCTTTAAAACTTTTTGCTTACTTTTCTTTTTTTGTCTATTTTTAGAGATGGGAGCCCAAGTCTGTTGCCTCCTGTTTTGGCTCAGAACAGTCGTCCTGCACCTCTTCCAAAGGAGCAGCCTAAGAACCAGGTCCCAGAAGTGAAATTAGACGTGGAGGTCAAGGAATCATCTTTCCAGCAGAAGCTAAGACATGCTTTTAAGCCCAAAACCTTATGGTGAGTTTGTTTGAACTGAAATTTTTGTAAATATTTAAGGTGAGGTCTAAACACTGCCCAATGGGATTTGTTACTTCATTATCCAGGTATTATTTAACCAACAAAAGTTAATGGAGATGTTTCAGTAATGTGAAGCAAATATGAACTGAATGCTTGTAGGTCCAAATTAATATTACAGGAATTGCATTGGAGGCTCATATTTTTCCTTTCTGAGATTAATTTAGTGTTGCAAGAATAGTTCCAAGGCCATGAAAATACTAATGTTGAGTTTAACGCATCAGTGGTTTTGTCTTTTGAAAATTCCCATGTGATATGGATGCCGTGAGACAGTTTGATATACAGCACTCACTTAAAATAGTAGTGAAGTAGATTTCTGATAGACTGGGTCCCTGGAGAGAGTAGACACCTAAGAAGGACTGTGGACTAGTTCTGTAAAAGCATTTGCAACCTCAAGCGGAGGCTGTTTTCGCACATGCTAGGGTGTGGATTTTTGTGGCATTCTGTTTCATTTTGTTGGTTTCACATTGCGGTGGCTGAAGCACCAGTGCTTTGTTGTTTTCATTTTTGTGTTCATTAGTGCCAGAAAGTATGTTGTATTTTAACTTTCCCCTTACCTATTACGTTTGAAAATTGAGATGATTAATATCTAGATCAGCAGTCTCCAACCCTGGTCCTGGAGAGCTACGTTCCTGCAATGTTTAGTTCCAACCTGCATGTAACATGCTGTCCCTCTTCTTACCTAATATGCATTTGATCCAGCCAATCAGGAACTGAAGACGTTGAGCTGGAGCAGGTGTGGCAGACAGTGGTTGGAACTAGACACTACAGGAAGGTAGCTCTCCAGGACCAGAGTGAAAGACCACTGGTCTAGATGTATCACAGAGTGATAAAAACGAACGGTTTAATTATGCTTGGATTTAACCAGTCAGATTGCCGATCCAGCCTATCAAAATATGTGGTCCATGTGCCAAAATTATGGTTCACTATTGCTTATTTGAGCCTACCGTTTTTAGCAGCAGCCCGTGCTGCCGAAACGATACAAACATTCACAGATTATGCAGACAGTACAGCTCTGACATGCACTTAGAAAGGCATGCTCTTATCTTGAATTTCATTGCAAAATTGCAGTCTGACCAGCACTGGGCTGATCAGGGTTCACTTGGAAGCGGACTGAGGCCTGCTGTTTCTGGCATTCCAAAGTTCAGTTGTTTGAGTGTTCACACTTGTCAAAATGACCCTTACTAAAGAAAAAGTTTGATTGTTCTGCACCAAACGAGGTAGGTGCCAAAGCACCCAGAAAGTTATATTGCAATGCAGTGGTCCCATTAGAATTTGATGATTGACCCTATGTATCTTATTAGGAAGTTTAACTTCTGTTTTAATTTCTTTTCCTTATTTGTGATGGCTTAAACTGCAAGATGCAACGTTAGTGGGGTAGTGTTGCTAACGGGAGGAGATGTGTGGTTAGTGAACGTGTTGCCAAGGAATGTTGAGCTATTTAACATAGCTGTGGTCTTGCTTGAAAAACTCAATCTCTTAATACCATATAAGTGACTTATAAGTGGCATATAAAACAATTAAGCACTTCTATTTATTAATTTCAGGAAACAAGAAGCATGGAAACCACAAACTCATGCTCTTTCACCTCTTGAACTCGAGGATGACTTTATGATACTGGAAGATGATGCTCCAATTTTATTTACCATTCCAAGGAAGGCTAACAGTAGTCAGAAAGAAAAACATGCACCAGAGGGTGTGTCTGCAAAGCCAGATGATAAGAAAACAGCATCTCAGGCTGAATCAGCTGCTCCAAAGCTGGGAGATGAACCTGATGCTGCAAAAACAAAGAAATCGAAGGCCAAGCGTGGAAACACTTACAATAAGGGTGATAAAGACACCATGACTCAAGCAACTGTAGAGGAGAGGAATGACCCTTTAACTGAAGTGGAAGAAGTAGTGGAAGTTTGTGAGCCCTCTTCTGTTCCAGAGGCCAACCAAGATGCTGATTTACCTGGTAAGTCCTTGTTTACTCTTTTGTAAATGATACTTAGTTATAATATTCAATATAGCAGTGTTTCTTTAACTCATTAAATTTGGCATCTTGAGTTGTGTGAATGTATCTATGCGTGGTACAGTTTCACTGTAGAACTGAGTAGTTGGCAAATCAGATAAGTTTTTGAAGTGTCATTTACCTTGTCTACTTGTAGTAGTCCAGTGTTCGTTTGAAAATTTAACAATGCTAAGTTTGTAACCAAGTATGCCCATTTTCTTTTTTGAAGTAAGAATAGTGTCTGGCATGTTGTCCCATGGCATTTAAACAAATTCTATGGATTTGACTTAGACTTGAAAGGAGCTGGCAGCTGTTCCTTGTGAAGGTGTTTTGTGAAAGGTCATTTGTTGTTTCTTTTGCAGATACAGGTAAACAGAGAAGAAACAGCAAAACATCTATTAGGTTTGGCAAGAAAGATGGAAAAAATAATAATCAGGCCAAAATCCCAGTTGAAAAGCCTGCATCTAAAAGGAAGAAACCTGCCAAAGTAACTGGTGATACCAATAATGGGCAAGAAGAACATACATCAAATGAAAAAAAGAAACCCAACAAAGCAAAATCTACTGTAAAAGGTTCAGCAAAATCAGACCAGCAGATTAATGACAATGCTACCTTGACAGATAAACAAGTGCCTAAAGTACAAGAGCAGGTGGATAAGCTCCACAAGACCACCGAACCACATCTAGAGCCTACAGAGCAACCTGATGTGCAAATCACGGTTCCAGGTACATTTTTATCAGTGATAATTTATCTGTGGTTGCAGATATACTGTGAATGTTAAAAACTCTGCAGGAATTTACTTAATGCTCAAACATTTAAGCAGTAAATGGCTTGTAACAGTACTATGTTGGCTGAAACTATTCATTGTTTAGAAGCTGCCTCTGCCCATTTTGTTACTGAAAAATAAAATTGGATCCTTATTGTTGTGAACAACATTGATAGTCTTTATGTACTTGAAGTCTTAAGTCTTTTTGTACATATGAACTCCACAGAAACATCTTTTTACCATTAGTACAACAGTTTTGTTCTTTGCTGCACGTTCTTAAAATACTACGTCCTTTTTTCTTGTTCCAGTTAAGAAAGCAGCCAAACAGCCTGCAACGAAGCAAGGTACTTCAAAAAGGGTCAAGAAGGTGCAGAAGACAAAAGAAGACGCAAAAGTAAAGGAGCTTCCTGTGCCTGAGTCTGATATTTCTGCAGAGGGGTCTGTGACTGGCAAGAGGAAGAGGAAACCACCTGGAGAATGGTGGCTAACCTCTGACATCCAAAATGAAGGCAACACACAGGTGCAAGAGGTGGCAGGTCAGGAGTCTTTGCAAGAGCTAAAATCCAATAAGAAAATGAAAAGAAAAGAAGCACCAGCAATATCAACACAGAGGACTGAGGAGCAGGAGAGCCAGAGTATGCCAATCAAACATGTGACTGTTCAGAAAGTGGGGAAAAAAGTCAAGAAATCTAATTCTACAAGTGACCAGAGAAATCCCAAGGTAGCAGGTGACACACAGAAAACAAAATCCGCAGCTCCAACCCAACGTCAAATTCAGTCGAAGACACCAGCTCCTTTGGTTGGAGAAGAGGCGGCAGTTCATGAGGATGTTGAACAAGTCAGCTCAAAGGCATGTAGTCCCCCTAGACGGCAGACTCTTACTCCAGGTATAGTCACTGAGTCATTTTGTTATTGAAGTTTGTGGATTTAATTAGGTTAATTTGATTTAGCTCAAGAGATCTACTTTTTTAAGTTATATGAGCTTACAGCAACAAAAAATCATCATCATCCTTTCAGGATATACTACCAGTCAAGTTAAACACCTAACCCAATATAAATTTTTTATATTGATCAACATTTTGATCTATTCTCAAGTGCAAATTAAATTTGTTTCTAAAGCCCCATTCAAGCTGAATTAATATTCCAGAGTTCTGAACATTCACGTCACATCAAAATTAAATGGGTCCAAGCATACAAATGACAAAAAACAGCTTCCAGATAACGCCACATAGAATAGCATTAGGCTAGTAAAGTAGGTTATACACAAATTGCACTGGCCTGTTAGGTACTTTCAAGGTATTTCAGTTTCCTTATTCTGTCCAAAATGTTGTAGATTACAGTAATTCTGTTTTGAACTTGAGGATAAAGGAACTTAGTGATCTTGTCTACCAGGTACAAAAAAACAGAGGTGCTGTTGTCTATTACTAGGTTTTGTTATTACATGACTGTGAGAACAATTTGAGCAGGACAGTGATTATTGAGGGAGCTCAGGGTTTGGTGAATTATAGATGATAATTTGCACTGAAATTATTATTTAGCAGCCTTGTCAAAACTACAGACATTGCGAGTTTGTACTATATTTACATTTTCACAGATCTTGTTGGTAATCACACACATGACAGCAAAAAAAAGCCCCCCAGCAAATGGTTTTCAGCAATAGCAGCATCTCAGCATGTGTGTGTTATCAGTAATTTTGGGAAAGCACCTCATTAAAGTTTCCTCATTAAGTAGCTTAAGAGAACAAATACAAATATAAAAACATATATAAAGCTGCATCAAGGCAAAGGATGACTAATTTCTTATATATAACATTTCATATACTAAACAGAACGAAACAGCTCAGATGTGACATGACAAAATGATTTGATAAGAGTAAGTAGTAGGCATTATCATTATCCCCAGCCCTCAATACCTCCCTCAAGAGAGAATGGCAGCATTAAATAAATGTAACAGAGACAGGCTGGGCCGATTTAGGAAACGCTTGTATTAAGGAAGATGACAGCGTAGATCCAATCTGAGCTAAGTTGGGGTCCCAGACTTTGTAGAAGGTGGCCACTGAGGAGTGAAGCAGACATGAAATATTTTCATTGGGGACACACTCCATTATAAGATTGTGCAATGATTTTTTTGTTGGACCAACATCCTTTATCCAAAAGTGCAAAATGTTCTTCCTAGCGGCAAAAGTCAATAGATTTTATAGTCTCCAGTGTTTGCTGTTTACAGTATGACCATTTGGAGGACCAAGATGGTGACACATAGCATCCAGCTCTATTGGAGCATCAAAAATTAAACACAGGCCAATAGCTTTGTAGCTTCATGCATGACCAGAAACAGTAAAGGTTGGCTAATTTCTAAAATAATCTAAGCTAGCTTGTTGGTCTCTGCTTAATTCAGTATGCGTTATTTCTTCATTTTGATGTCTTCATTATTGTTTAAAAATGTGGAGAGTAGTAAAATTAAGGCAGACTGTTCTATGATCAGATGTGTCTAAACTTTCGACCGGTAAAGTATGTATACATATCCGTAATACATATTCGATGTCTTTTAACAGGAGAAAAAAGAGTGTTTGACAAGATCTACACACGGGACGGTCAGTGTGGATCTGCCCAGAAACATCCTCCATCTGCACTCCATCGACCAGAGAGTCTTACAGTGAAACGGCAGAGAAAACCCCCCAGCAACTGGTGGGAGGTGCCTCAGTCTCAGGGATCTGTTGAAAGCTCTCTGTCACCACCGAACTGTTCTCCAAAAGCACAGACGGCCCTTCCCCGTAGTGCATTTGATAAAGCAGCCAATGTAGTCAGTTCACGAAAGACAATGGTTCGTGCTCAGAAAAAGAATAAAATAAACATGATCCATACACCAAAATCTGCCAAAAGGTCTTTGGCTACATTTGAAGCCATATTGGCCTCTGGAAAACCTGAGTCTTCGACAGTGAGGGGTTTTGAAAGCAGACAAAAGGGCCGCAGAAACTTGCTCCACTCTCTTGAAGATCAGTCAGAGCAGTCAAGTGAGAACATCCACAGTGATCACCAGCATGGAAGCAGCCATGCTACCTTTGATGTTTGTCCAAATGGTGCTACCATGGATTCTTTTGCTGCCAGAAAGAAAGCTGATGCTAGATTATCAGCTGGATCCAACAGAGCTTCTAGGTAGTGAATTGTCCTAATTCCAATTCTTTTCAAATACAGTAATTCTTTTAAAGAATAATTCCTAAAAGGGATGCAGAGTGATATATGAATCGTATTGATATTGGCACATATTTGGTTTAAAAAAAAATAAATAAATAAAAAGAAACTATCTGCATTGGACGCATGTTAAGATTTGATTTAAAACCAATATTTTATGATGTATTTGTGTGGGTGCAGGTTTTCTTTCCAAACAAGAAGAGCACACCTGATTTCACTCGTTTAATCAGTCAGTCTGAGTCTTTTAACAGCTGAGCATGTGTGCTCCTGCTTTGTTGCAGTGAAAACCTGCAGCCACACCGTCCATTTGCGGATAAGGTTGGACACCACTGCTATACAAACAAGTGGTAATTTTCTCTCTAATGATAATCTAGGTGGGTCTAGTTCCAGTGTCTATATTTTATAAATGTTTATGTATCCGCATTGTTCTTGACTTTGCCAGATATGTAAAATATCAGATATTGGCATTGGCCCACAATCCCCGTATCAGTGCATTCCTGATTCTAACAGTATTTCATGTGGAAATCTTAATCAGACGGTAGTGTAATGAATTTATTTTTCTATTTTTTAATAGTGGCATTGGTTTCAAAAGTGGCCCTTCATCAATGATTGAGCTTGAGCGATTTGAAGAGACTGAGGATTCTGGTAAGCAGTGATTATTTACTGTGGTATCCGGTAAATGTTTGAGTATGTGAGGATTTGCTTACTTTCAAATTGTATTTGTGCTCTGATTTCAGTCTTGCCATCATCAAGGATGGTCCCTTGCATTCGTCACGTACCTCGCGTGTTGTCGGACTGCGATCTGTGTGGCCCTCCACTGCGGCCCATAGTCCTAGAAGCTGAAGACTGGGACAACCTCTGTGTTTGGTTTGCTCACTTATGGCCTTCCTCTTCAAAAGGTAAACACATAGGGTTATTAATTAGCAATAGATTAGTATATTAAATGATTTCTTTTCCAGTCTTATGTCCCAGTGTCCCCATTTGGTACACAGACCTATGAATTTTTAATTTACTCATTACCTAACATTCTGCATGCTAATATTGATCCTACTTTTTCCTACTAGAAGGCAATGTGTTTAGCGTGATTAGCCCAGACGATTTCCACTGGCACTCTCATGGTGGAAGAGCTATGGGTCATATGGTTGACCTTCAGAACAACACATTCTCAAATGGCAAGATTTTGTTGGGCTCATATATGAAGAAACCTCCACAGGCAGATCTTCATGCAGTAACAGTAAGTACTGTTTTCTTCTTCACACTTTTTTTCAGTCCGTACCTATGTAAGATTAAAGTCAAGCTGGCAACATGAGCTCTGTGGCTGTTCTGAGGTTTGGACTGTAAAACTAAGTTCATGAAAAGGTCTTGTGTAGATTGTTCTCTCCATCAGGATTGCTGTCATGCTTTCCATCTGATGCTACCCCATGCTGACCTTTTTAGTAAATTATTAATCTTGTGATCATGTTATTTGTCAGTTTAGAAGTTCTATAAATTCAGCCATTTATTCTGACAGTGCACCAGTATGAGAATTGTAGGCCAGTGCCGATGTCCAATATTTTCATGTATATATTTGTAGATGCTGATACGTAAACATTTATTAAATCTGGATGTGGGGACTAGATTGTCATTCAAAAAAGAGAACATTTATTTCTTGAGATTATTTGCAAAAGCAGTGCTGTGAATAAACTGCAGATATTTTAGTGTAGCACTTCGGTGTCCCTCCAGAGTACAATAAATATGCCCCTAAACATCAGCTTGAAATATTGGTCAATTCTGAACATCTGTCTGATACCAGTGGATTTTTTCTTAAGCAAATACATGCCAGTGTCAATATGAATTCCATAGCATTGTGCAGCCACAATACATTGTTGAATTAATAAAATTTTTATATTTATGTTTCATCAAGGTATTTAATGTGTTGTCAAGTTGCGTGAGGGTGGAAATTGACGGCGTCAAGACAGTCTACAACTCGGGGCAAACATTTATGACGCCTTGTGGTAAGAAACGTAAACTAATGTTAAAATAACAGTAACTGACACATTGAGATGAGCTTAGTATGTTTTATTGTTGATCATTTTTTTCTAATTCGTTATTTTTTGTTTTGTAGGGAAATCTTACAGCATTCACAACATCTGCCGTGAACCTGCTGTACTGTGGTACCACAGGATGTTAACAAATGATACATGAAACTGGCGGAACAAACAAGTGGATGGGAGGCACTGATTATGCCCTTTGGTACATGTGTTTATAGATAATTAAAAAAAGAAAAAAAAATGAACTGATACTGATGTTCTGTCATCAGCATGTAGATATACTTCTGTTTTTAAAGACATACGGACATAGTAGTGCCTAAAAAGGACTGCCATTGCCTTTGGAAAATTTTGCTTGTAGTTTTATGTAAATAGTATTGTGGAAAAATGTAAAAGACTGAATCTCGTTGACTGTGTTTTTGGAAAAAAAAAAATGCAATTTTTATAAGCTTGTTATTTAAAGTAATGTGTACTGTTGAGTCTTTGATATGTGACAGATATCAGCGTAAAATTAGATCCCATGTCCCTTATAAATGTATTTAAAATAAACTACAAGTTGTCAGTAGGGGGCATCATATCATTGTGTATACGTCTGCCTCTGTCCTTGCTTTAAAAAAAAAAGCCAGTGCTTATCTGAAGATGTAAGATGCTGGAAGTTTGTCAGCCAGCCGTTCTGTCTTTATACACAGCAGTGCACAAACCACAATAAACTGACAGCATCATCCTGTGAAGCGTGGGCCATTTGGCCAAGTTTATAAGCACCTGTAGCGCATAGACAGCATGTTAGTAGTATTCATGTTTTTACCAATGGTGAATGAAAGCAGATTCTGCATTGACAGACTTTCAAATTTAGGACTGAGTTTGTCTTAACAGCTCTTTGAAAAGGTCTGCTTGAGGCACCGCTTAAAACAGTCTCATTTATTACCCTGTGGCGTGGACTCTGACTGAGTCTTCTTTCTTTTTAAAACACTTTTTGTGTGGACCAATGGGACCTTTGTCCTTTAATTATACAGCATGCTTTTAACTTCAAATGTGCAGTGCAAACACATTTGAATAAATGAAAGAGGCGGAATGCTCCTTTTAAAGTGGGTCTCTTACATCACCAACTTCAGCAATTTCTTGGTGCATTCAGTGAAAAAGACAAATCCTGGTTTGTGGTTAGTAAAGGTGGCCCCACTGGCAAATTCAGCAATAATACAATGGAGCATGAACATTCACTGATGGTATGTTTATGTGCAGCACAGTTATGCATTTATGGTATTGAGGACATCCCTTGTTCATCGATGGTCCTTCCCACTATGTTATGTTTACTCAGTGAACATATCTGTGTCTTCAAGTGTTAAGTCGATGGATCCATAACATTCCAAAAAGGACTTAAGAGTCTTAGAGGAAATAAATACAGCGTCTCATAATGAACGTTGGCTTGTCAGTTCTGTGACGGCCCTTCCTCTGTCCTTGTGTCCTTAATCTAGAAGTACAATATAAAAGTGCTGACCAAGTTTGTATATCAACTTCACACTAAAGTGCTGTTACTGAGTTGTCCAGATTTGCCTTTAATGGATAAACAGTCGCATTCTGCTTTATCTCTATCTGCTTTGATAATGAACTTAACATCCACTGTATGTCCAAAAGTATCCGGTCACTCCTACTAATTAGTCAATTCTGATGTGCACACAGCTTATATAATGTCTGTAGAAATACGCTGACCAGTAGAACGAGACGCTCTGAATCTGTCGCACATGAACTAAGGTCGCCATGCCCAGTGCCAAGATTTGGCCAGAGGGGCATAACACACCAACACTGGACTGTGAAGCAGTGGTTTCATTAGTATAATGCTGGGTCTTTCCACACCAGCTCACCTAGGGCCTGTGCAGACATATCATGGATTTCTATAAAAAAGTGTAAGCAAAAACTTTCAGTTTAACTCGTGCAACCAAACTAAATTTCAAAACTGCACCACGGTTTTTGTGAGTTTTTAAAAGTTCGTCCCATCAGGCTGTTGGTTGCATCTTAAATATTGAGTTTAACTGCTTACAGAATAATTGAAGTGTAAGTACAACACTAAGAATACTGTTTTGCTTTAAATCATCTAGGTTCATGTTAATGATCCCCCACGACAGGTTAATATGTTGGAGCATGTACTTTCCTTGCCATGGTGTGCAGTATTTCATCTTTGAAATGTGATCTTTTAGTCAGTTTTTTAATTTCTTTTCTGTTTTTCCAAAATTTAGGTTTTAGGTTTCCATCAAATTTATGAAGTTGAAGTATTGCACACTTCAACATATAAAATACATACACTAAAAATGAACCTGTTGTGGGCATTCATTCATTCATTCAACCTCAAACCAGTTGATTAAAGCGAGATATTATTATTAGTGGGTGTTATTATACCCGCTTGACGTTTCAGCTCAGTTAAGTCATTCTGTAAGTGGCAAATTAAAACTTGTTTTTGTATAAGTGAAAGTGTTCGCTTACTTTTTTTAACGTATATCTTTTAGTAATTTTGAGATGTGTGTGATGCTTTTAGGATGTGTTTAACAGGACTACTGAATGCTACTTGACTTAGGTGGCTTGTATTGTCATAAGCTATTATTACATAACTCGCCATTCTGCTGTGTTGTGTATTGAGTGATGAATTGCATACCCATTGTATAACATAAGCAAGAGGCAGCACACTAGTGTTTGTTGAATGAAAAAAGATTTAAAAGCCAATATAACTCGATCATTTATGAAAGCATATTGTTAATATAAACATATAATGAATTTCCCCTTAAATGTGAGTCAACATTCTTGCTTGAAAAGCAGCTGAAGCAGTTCAACCTCATTGCCCTTTGTGGTTCATCTAATAGGGATTAGACAGATAAGTGCAGCCCCGGCCATCGATAACTCATTCTCTTTATCACGCAGCCTGCCTGGGTCTTAGACACGGAGCACTGAGAAAAGATTTGGGCAGCCAAATCAGATAAAACCTTTTCTCTAAACTGACTGACAGCTGCATGCCTTTGGATGTCTATTAACCTAGGAGTGCCTTAAACTGATTTTCTAACAGAGTGAATTTCCATTTTCTTTCTGTTGATCTTTCTTCAGTGTGCTTAAGAGGATGCCAGTAAAAAAAAAAAATATCCTACCAAATCTTGAGCTTCTTTGTATCTCCTTTGCTCACTGTGACCGCAGACTGCTCCAAAGGTTATGTTTAAAATGCTGCTGTAAAAGGTGACCTTACTGGGCCCACACAGAGGACAAGCACTTGCAGCTGCTCTTTTATTTCGTCTCTTTTGCTGCTGCCCTTTTGAGTTAGCTGGTGTGGACGTGCATAGCACTTCTGTGTACAGGGTGCTGATTCACCACCCAGCCAGTGGCGTTTCTGAACTTTTGGGCGTTCTTTAAAACAGCAGTTCTCAAAGTGTTTAGTCTAAGTCTTGAGGCCCCCTTTGTGGGAAGTAAGTGCCAATGCATCTCCCCTCACTCCCTTCCTCAGACCCTCGCCTCCCCTTGTCATCAATTTCACTTCCTCAACAAACGATTGAAACACCCAGCACTTACCCACCCTGGAGAATGGAAATTGCTTGGAGTTGGTATCAGCTTCGAGACTTGGGGAAGATGATGTGCTCTCTGGCGATGCTTGAGAGGTGCTATGTGTTTGACGTGAATCACATAAGACTGGTTCTTTTTAAAAAATTTTTTTTTTTAAGAAAGCCTTTTTCTCCTCACTTTCTCATAATTTCTTGCACTTTGCGGCACCAATTGCATATTCAGTTTGTTTACATATACACTACTATTTAACTATTAACTATTACTAATAATTCTAAGCTCAGAATCACATATTAATAATCTGTCATTTCACACACAACAATAACTTGTACAGTGTAGATTTAATATCATAAACTAGATACCAGAAAGTATTTTTAGATGTTTTATTCAATATTTCATGTTGGGATCAACAAAAAGTTATTAAATTACAAATAATACACTGTCAATTGTCAAATTATCTGTCTCAGGATTTGACTGCTGCTTGTGATACAAGACATTCTGGATATTCATTTAATAATAAAATTTAATAGTTATATTTAATTTAATTATAACTACATTGTAGATGTTATACAGCACTCCCAATCTTTTTAGAATCGTACATACATACTGTACAGCTCTGTTCATCCTTCTGGACACTTCTAAAATGTATATTCTTTCTACGCTGTCAGAAAAAAGAGTACTGTCCAGGTACAGTTGAGCCAAGGTACAAACATTGTGAATGTACCGTCAGAGGTACAGCATCGTCCTTAAGGTCCAATTGTGTAACTTAATTGAGTTTTAGAGGTGTACTACATTCACTTTCTCAGAAAAAAGGGGCATATTTGCACCTTTTCATAACTTTTTCAAAATAGACATGAAATAAGAGGCCTGGAGAGAAGACAGGGTGTACAGAGACAATACATCACAGAAACATATTTGTGATGAAATATGGTATTATTATGTTCCATAGCTAAAGGTACTGAAGACGCGTCCTTGAGGGGATCACTCTTGTGACAGCTTTTGTACCCTGAAAAGTGCAGTGTACCCATCTATTAATTATTTAAAACCTGTGAACTTGAGCAGAAGTAGCACATAACAGTCCTTCATACATGTTTCTACAGCACAATTGCTTTTATATTATCTAAAAAACTTTTGAATGGTAGCATAAGCTAAGAAATAAAATGTTAGCTTCACATCAGTGCTGGCACATACAGGTATACTGTTGTTGGTCAACTCTGCATGTTGGAGAAGGAGTGGGATCAGACTGAAAGCCAAAACACTGACCAGACATTCTCATGCTGGCAGTCAGATTTCTACAGTTGCATAAATGCTGCTGTCAGAACAAAACCTTGCATCTGAAATGTATATAAAATGTTGACTTTACAGGAGAAGGAAAAAACATACTTTACTTTTTACGTAAGTCAATGGAACCAGAATGCGCTGTGACATTACCACCGTCATAGACCTGTATCAGCATCAATGAGCTTATTTACACTTTTCTAACCTTATTACACCTTGTTTCTGTTTTGCTTCCAATCACGAGCAGCAGATATAAAAAAATTTGCACTGGCCACTTGGGCCAACAAGCCAATGAATATTGTGGCCAGAATAATAGAAACATGTTTATCATGCATACATTGTATTTACAATTATGAGTATGCTTCAGTACCAAAAACAAGTCAGGTGTTGCTTTGAAAAGGAAAAAACCTTTACATTAATAAGAACTTTGGTGTTCTGGTGATCATGGTGGTTCCTCCTGCCGAGCTGGTCCACGCTGGCATCGTCCAGTCTAGGTTATGTGTTTAGCTACTGCAGTTAAAGCCTGTTGGTGTAATTCCAGCTTATTTAACACCTCTTTTTATTTATGCCCTTATTTCATAGAGTGATCTTAGAAAACTTTAGCCAATGGAAAAGCATCAGTGACACGAGGTGGACCATTTCAGCAAGAGGGACCACCATGGGTCACCACAGCTTCAAATTAGCTATTGCAGTGGTTACAGTCAGTGAATGTCATTAAAAGAGAAAAGGGCCTCTTGGGCCACAGGCTCGGCATTTTTAGTAGCCAAAATGTTCTGTCCAGGGGCATTGGGCAATAAGTAAGGTCTACTCTTTCTTTTGGTAACCTCACCTGTCACTAGCGATGTTTTGTCCTCTGTCAAATATTGGAAAAAAACATTCAGGTAGAAACATGTAATGAATTGTCTGCATCGGTG